CTATTGTTTAATTTATTTTGATCCAGCTCATATCGATATATCAATATATGTAAATATTTATTGATTTGTCTCATTTTAATCCGTTTAAATTCAGTTCAACCCGCCAATTCAACACGCTTAGTTGTCATGCCATAAAGATAGTCTTATCTGGCACTTGGCTGGCTCATGAAAAAAGAAAATAGCTAGAAATTAAATATTAAAAAAAAAACTGAAAGACAATTGGCGTATCATATAAGCTTTATTGTTTGATAATGTAAGGTCCATTGTAGTATATGCAATTAGGTGGTTGAGATAATTAACTACCCAAGACTGACCAATATATATGGCAGATGGCATCTTCCTTCAAATTTTTATAACCCAAGCTTAAAATGACGAAATTGAATTGTCATTTTCAAAACAACTGTTAGATAATTCTTCAGTGTACCCTTAAATATTGATGAATCTTTCACTGGCACTCTACCATTAGTTTAGAGTCTGGAGAATGACAAGTTGATTGAAAAGCATAAATCAAGAAACGCTTAGTGCTTAGCAGTTTATTATTATTATTATTATATTCTCTTCTTCAATATCTTTTTATTGCTTTGTCTTTTATTGTGTAAATTCTTTCACCTAATTAATCTACATCATTAACGGCTCTAATATCGTGAGAGAGTGGACACTACCGTTATCTCAACTTTATTTAGGCTTTAGTAGTGGTGGCGGATCTAGAACACAAATATTACATTATATATATATATTCATAAACATTAAATATAGATCCATCTCTCGGCTTTACAAACTAGTAGTAGCACATTGAAGTTTGAACATGTCTATCATGTTCTCGTTTTACACCTTTTTTTATTTTGATTAATGGTAGTTTACTTTTTACTAATATTGGAAGGTGATTAGGATAAAAAGAGTTTTCAACCTTGAATGACTATTATGTATCTTTGATAGAAAAATCTAATACATGTCTAATTGAACCGCTAGAAAGGAAGAAGATTGGAAATAGAGAAGTGAAGAAGTAGAAGGAAAAGGGACACTGGCATTTTGTATGTCATTGAACAATTTCTTGTCAAGAAAAGAAAAAGGCAAAATACATAAAGTCCCTCTGAACTTATCTTAAAAACTGGGTTGAACACTTAAATTAAACGTGAGTTTTTTCACTCCCTAAATATATTTAAAATGAATTATTTCCCCCTAATAAATGATGTGACAAAGAAAAATTATAAGCGCGTCCCTTTCTCCTAATTAAAAAAAAGAGTGCCCCCCCCCCTGCCCCCTTCTTCTTTCTACTTCTTCCTCACCCCTTGTCCCCTTTTTCTTCACAGTGCAGTAAAATATAACAACGATTTCAGATACAGACTCCGAACTGAAATTCAACTCGAAACCACCTAAATCCTTCACCAAATTGGCCCAAATTTCAAATACAGAGTCCACAAATTGCACCCAAAAAATCTAGCAACACCCAAAGTTAAAAGTCTTCAAACACAACTCTCTCACCCTCTATCTCTCACTTCTAAGGTTTCAGAATCAATCTCAACCGAACTCCAGAAAATTCAAAAATTCAATATCGTAAATGTTCGATTATACTTTTGATTTCTATATTTCGTGCTTAATTTTCGATATGCTCCTAATCATTTGATTTTTTCCCTTTATTTTGTTTACAGGAAGGTGATGGAAAATTGGAGGCGCAAATAGAAGCGCTTTTGAATGTAAAGAAGCAGATGAGGCAAGCTGGAGATGTCACCGAACTAGAAAAGCGGCTACAAATATATTCTTCAGCTTCGCTTCGAAGCTCGCCTCAGAATACTTTAAATGAATAGATTGTTCTTTTGTCTAAGCGGCTAATTGAACATGCTTATCTATGTCATTAGATTAATATATTATTAGTTTGTTTAAGCAAAAATATTTTTTGCTTTGAGAAAAATATAAGCAAAAAAAAAAAGGAAAAGAAAAAAAGTTAAATATACAAACCATAGAAAATTTCTGATGTGGCGCTGACATGAAGCTTATGTGGTGCGCATGAAAAGCACCTCATATTGTGAGATTGATATTAGTGTTTCGGAGTGGGGGGCTGGATAATTCAGTCCAAATGTGTTTAGGAGGATAAAAAAATACCTATTTAATTTAAGTGTTCAACCGAGTTTTTGCGACAAAATTCTCCGAGGACTTTATGTATTTCGCCAAAGAAAAAGTATTAGTTCCACTTCAAACTAGAACAGGGGTAATATGTCAGCCCGAGGTATGTATGTGACTTTTCTGAACAAATTTAAAGGGCAACTTATGTATTTTTCTTTAGTGTTATAAGTCACTAATTAACTCGTCGTGAATAGATACTTAGCATTTCAACGCCCTTTTCATTTTAGAGAATGACAACTTCTAGGTCCCAACTTATACCAACCAAAACTTGGTTCGGGTCCAACTTCTGCTTTTTATAGAAAGTTGTAAGCCTATAGACGAAAACAAAATATAATGTAGTTGCTTTTTTGAGAGGTCTAAAAAATCTTGAATTGTTTTGAAGCGTCTTTAGCGTATATAATCTATATATTTGTTTTTCATTTAGAAATCATATTGGGATAGAGGCGAAACTCATAAGCCCTTCGTTATCTAAAGAAAGCAAATTAAATTTAAAATATATATATATTTAATAAATTCTTTAGCATAAATATATTGTTTGAACAAAACCAACTCAAGTTGGCCAAACCAATATGGGGCTTCCATCCCACCCTGTATTGGGGTACATGGAAACATCACGTTGAGGATGGGTTGGCACCCAACTTTTGTCTAAGTATTGACAATACAAAACGGCCGAAAATGGACGAATAAGAGGGAAACATATGTATAACTAGATTAATTAGCATCCACTTCAATCAGAGGCAAGTTGACAAGAAAATGACAATTTGAATACAATGCGTGGCTGAAGATTGCGATGTCAAGGATAGGAGAGTGCACAATCATTGCCCACTTAAGACCTCTCCAGTATCAACTCAACTCATTCAAATTGTTGTGGTGGACCGGCAAGTATTTATTCTTCTTTAATCAGAGTTTATCGAAAATAACTTTTTTATCTTTACAAAGTAGGGGTAAAGTACACAATACTCTTTTCATACCTCACTTATGAAATTACAATAAGTTTGTTAGTGTTGTTGTTGTTGTTTAGTTAGAATCTTTGATTTAAACCCTGAATATAAAATTATATTTGTTAGAGAGCCTTTTACTCTTCAATATTTGACTTAACGGTGCAAATCCAAATTTGTGGTTTCATTCAAACATAGAAAAAGCCGGTAGGTTTATTTATTTATTTATTTATTTATTTATTCATTCACATAAAACTAACAAGTGCAGTTGTTGAGAATCTTGAAGTTATAATGTTATAATATTTGTATGATTATAAAATATGTAATTTTAAACATGTTATAATATTTATCGAGTTATAAAGTTAGTCAATATGATTAAAATACAACACCACCAACAACAACAACAAACCCCGTGTATCCCACAAATAGGGGGTTTGGAGAGGGTATTATGTATGTAATCTTACTCCTACCTTATGCAGGTAGAGAGGCTGTTTCCGGTAGACCCTCGGCTCCAAGCAGGCGTGCAATCACAATAGTATAGAGAAAAAATATAGTAGTGTAAAACTCAAGAAAACATTAACAACAATTAGGAAGTTTAAATTAAATTATTTTTTAAATTTAAAAAGGAATGAATCATTCTTTTTAAAAAATATTTTAAGAAAAAAAGCAATCCAAAGGACTGAATGAGTCCAGTCTCTTTAATGAAAAGAAATTTAACAACACTGCCAAGTATTGAACTGCGAAAATGACATGGTAATGCCTACGAATTTGAATTTACTTCCCATCACGATCCTTGTGTACTGTGTATATCCCTACCCGCTTCTCTTTCTAGTTTATTTGTTATTTATAGAAAATTTGTAGTTTCTCTTAAGGATGATTTTAAGGGAAAAAATAGAAATGGGGGGTCCTGACTTGGCAAAACCAAAAAACCAACTGTCAAGTGTAAACATCACTCTTTAACTGTCTGTAATGCGTACGGTAGCTGTATTGAATGGTGCAAGTTTTGATTTTTGAGTGCAAAGAGCCAAAGAGAAGTGAACAAACGGACCAATAACAAGTTACAGACTAGGTGATGTAATTAGCATTAATTACACAAAAAAACCACGCTACTGTACTTTAATGCTCCATTCCGTCCATTTTAATTGATTTTTGGCTATTTTTATATATTAAGGAATCTATCTTTTAATATTAATTAATAATAAAATTGATCATATTAATTTTAATTTGTTAATTAGAAATACAACAAATACTCCTTAACCAATCAAAAAATCCACTCTTACAGAAATAGGGCGCAATGAACCCTTAGCCAATCAAGAGCATTGAAACTTTGGACATGAGGCATATGCTAAGGTTAACCTTTCATTATGTTGCATTACTATTAAGCTGTCAATTCGAAAGTAATGCAATTGTATTAAGAGGATAAAACTAAGAATGAAAATAGCACGAGCTAGCTAGTTTTCGGAATGTTAATTGAAAAATAACCAAAATTTATAAAGTCATGAAAAACTAGTCATTATTTTACTGAAAGACAGAAAGTTCCAGCATAATATATTGGAATCTCATATGTAAAAAATTCGAACTATAGCATATTATGCTGGAATTTTTCCTAATTTTAAGGGCATTTTTGTTCAGATTTTATATTTACGTGAAAAAGTGCAAAAAAATTCGATTACTTTTGAAACTGTGACTATTTTTCAATTACCAGCTGCAAATCTGGCTATTTCTGATTTTTTTTCCAACTAAGATAGTACAAGTTTTACTAGGGCAAATATTTTAATTTTCAGTTGAGTTCATGTCGCTCCATAAGCTCATTAATTTATTTTATAAGAAATTAATCTGGTATATAAATATAATTTATAGTAGTAAATATGGACACTAGTGCATAATGCCTAACAATTTTAAGGCTTGTATAATAAAGTAAAGAAAAGAGAGTTCTTTTATTCACAAACGTGTAAGAAGAAGAATTATGATTATGAACAAAGCATATCATATCATCCAAAGGAAAAGAAACTCTTTTTTTTACTCACAGCAAAAAATAAATGAAAATAGTAAAATAAAGCTACAATGGCCACACTGCTAGCGCTTTGATCAACACTATCAAGATTCAGCATCTCCAGTCTGTGGTAGATATTAAACTCTCTCCAATGGCAGTCTGCTCAAATGAATACCCACAAAATTCGCCGTCGAATGCCCCCCACGGCAATGGCGGATATACCCACCCATCAGCGGAGTCACTCAACTTCAACTCGTCCGAGTCAAAAGTCCCCTCCAAACTCGGCAACTCTATGATCTGGCCTAGCAGTTCTTCTGATGCTGCTGTAGTCTCCATCGACGTACTGACTGAAGTCAAAGCCGAAGACGAAGAAGATGAAGAAGAAGAAGCAGAGTTTAGGACGTTTTCCATAGCAGCGGCTTTTGCAGCAGCAGCTTGAACATCTGTAGGTGAAACTGAAGCTGGACGAGGAAGTGACTCAACGAGTTGAGGGAAGTTAAGAATTGCTGATTCTCCTTTGATACTAAGCGCGGCGACATCATGTGCTCTAGCAGCCATTTCTGGAGTAGGATAAGTACCGAGCCAAATACGAGATTTCTTACGAGGTTGCCGAATTTCAGACACCCATTTTCCCCAACTTCGCATTCGAACTCCTCTGTAAACTGGGTATGCTCTGTTTTCAGTACTGTTGAAGTACTGATCTCTTGTTCGCTTTATCCTACGTTTCTCTTCTGGTTCCTCTGTTTTTGACTTGTTGGACGAGTCCAACACCATGTTGTTTGTGTAATTGGAAGAGAATGAGGATGGTTCAACGCCAAATTCAGCCATTAATTGATGTTTTGTAGATGATATATGACTCCGGCCATTTATGCAACGAAGTTGAGAGGAGAGTGGAAATTGCCTTGTGGGGGTGAGTATATATGGACTGCCAAGAAAGGGAGTGACAAGGTCAAAGTGTAATTGAAGTTTCCATAAGTAGGGTGAAAATAAGAATGAAAGAGAAAGATAAAAAGATCAAGTATCTGTGGGTTCAGATAGTGTCACAGAAGGAACAAGTGTTTTCTGTAGAGTAAAACAAGGGAAGAAGATTTATTCAAGGAAAAACCGTATATTTCCTATCAGAAATTTCTAACGACAACAACAAAAAACAACTTAAACTTGTGGGGTTTGGAAAAGATAATGTGTACGTAGCCTTACCTCTACCCTATAAAGGCGAAACGGTAAAAATAAAGCAACTAGCAATAAGAGCAGTAATATAATAAGTAATGGAAGCGAGTGTCACGAGTAATAAAGAACTAAGAATAAAAGAATACAAGAATAATACTAGTACTACTGGTAAACCTAGGAGAAACTCACAACTACTTGTCAACCACCACCTTAATTCTCGACATCCACACTTTCATATCGCTAGTCATATCCTCGATTAGGTGAAGCAATGACATGTCTTGCCTAATCACCTCTCCCCAATACTTCTTTGGCCTATCCCTGTGCTTCCCCAAGCCCGCCATGGTCAACCTCTCACACTTCTCTGAACGGGACATCTATGTCTCTCCTCTTCACATGCCCAAACCATCGCAATCTCGATTCCCGCAACTTGTCTTCCACATATGCCACTCCCACCTTGTCCCTAATAACTTCATTTCTAATCTTGTCTTTCCTGGTATGTCCACACATCCATCTCAACACCTTTATTTCAACTATTTTCATCATCTAGACATGAAATTTTTTGACGGGTCAACACTCAAAAATTTCTCAATTTTAAATTTGTGTATAAATACCACTTAAAGAATATACATAGATAAATTAGTATTATTGGAAAATAGTATAAAGTTTTTGAAGCGAGCTATAGTCAGAAGCCCAAGTTCATGTCACGACCCGAAATTTTTATTGTCGGGACCATGATGGCGCCTAACATTTCACTTTTTAGGCAAGCCAACGTTAGCACATTCTATCCATATTTAACAGTTTAATATTAGTTAATGAGAATAGAACCGAAACTACTGCAATAATCCAAAGTAACAATGCGGAAGTTAAAACAACCAAACGTTTAATACATCAATGTACCCAATGTCACAAGTGCACAAGCTGCTAGAATAGTACATATAAGGGTTTGGAATAACATAAAGTTATCTGAAAAGAAGGTACACAGGTAAATAAAAAGAAGAGAAGGGGATTCCAGGAGTTGCGGGCACTGAGCAGCTGTACCTCAAGTCTCTGTACGCTGTCCAAATTCGAGCTCACTGATAACCGCTGTTGGGACCGACTCCAAAATCTGCACAAGAACTGCAGAGTGTAGTATGACTACAACCGACCCCATGTACTATGTAAGTGACGAGCCTAACCTCGATGAAGTAGTGATGAGGCTAAGGCAGGTCACCTACACTACAACATGTACACAGTATATGATAATGACAGAAAATGGAAATACGGAACAGAATAAAATAGTTAACTAAAATTAATAACTACAACCTCAAGAAATAAGCCAGTGTCGTCCAGAATTACCAATCCTTAGCATTTTAAATGAGAACACCAAAAACCAACACAGCTCAAGAAATAGAAACACATAGGTTGCTGCAGCACGCAACCCAATCCCCCCGTACAATACAGAATCCTCCCTTATTTCACCGTATTAACATTAACAACAAAGATTATATATAAACGTTGCAGCGCGCAACCCGATCCCATCATATATCAATATCAGTATCATAATTCACCCTTATTTACCATATTAATCCACTCTTATTCCACCTATTGTGGCGTGTAACCCGATCCCACCGTACATTACAAATTTACTCTTATTCCACCATATCAAATCCACCCTTATTCCACTTGTTGCAGCGTGCAACCTGATCCCACCATATAAGTACCAAATACTCAATGTGCACTATCAAATTAACAATTCAAACCACGAAAACCTTTACGATCAATAAATACCAAACTGAACAAGAAAGGGAAACCTTGTACAACGCAGGAATCTATATAAGTAATACTACACAGCGAGACCAGTCCAGTAATTGATAATTATACTGCTTGTGTAAAAGTACAGTATAGTGCATCTTTGTTGAATAGAATAGCTGAATATAGTTGGGTCTTAGATAGCCACAAATCACATGACTTCACACAAAAAATTTCTTTCCAACATTTAACCTTTAGTAATTTCCTATCTTATCACAAGTCCAAATGGCTACAAGGTGAAAGTAACTTGCACAAGGTCTCTTAACCTGTTTTCTTTCACCTAAGATCATGTTCTTTATGTTCCTACTTTCTACTGCAATCTCATTTTTGTGTCTCAGTTAGTCATACAACTTCATGGCATGGTTCAATTTGACTCACTTTCATGTATTCTACAGGTTCCTTTACTGAAGATGCCACTAGAAGTTGGTAAATTGGAGCATGGACTTTATAGACTCCTCATGTCTCCCTCAGAGTCTACTACAACCTTTTGTTTCCAATGCAACTTTATATTGTTGATATCCATTGAATATTTCTGGTTCTTCCTCTATATTAATTCCACTTGTCTTATATTGTACAAATCATTCTTCCATTAATAAAGAGGAAGTATTATGGCATCAAAGATTTGGTCACATTCTTTTTGTTAGATGAAAAGATATTTCTCGTATTCCTTGTGAATTCTCTTCCAAATAGTCTTTTACCTATTCTATTTGTCTAGTAGCCAGACAGTCAAGGTTACCTTTCCCTGACAGTAGCATAAAGTCTTTCTATCTTTTTCAATTAATTCATATTGATACTTGGGGGCTCTATTCTACTTTCACTTATAATGGTATTAAATACTTCCTCACCACGGTTGATGACTTTAACTAGAGCAACTTGAATACACCTTATGAGTTTCAAAAGCAATGCTTTTCCTTTACTTCAAGACTTTCTTTCCATGGTTCACACTCAATTTTCCACCAAGGTTCAATGTGTTAGAAGTGATAATGCTTTGGAACCTGGCTCTAGCAACTATGCCATCCAATTTTTTAAAGATCATGGAATTCTACATCAAACTAGTTGTCCACACACACCCTAATAAAATGGTGTGGTAGAAAGAAAGCACAAGTATCTGTTCGAGACTTCTAGGGTATTAATTTTTCAAGTCAAGTTGCCTATAAGGTTCTGGAGGGAGTGTGTCCTCACTACTACATACCTCACCAATAGGTTCCCTTCAAAATTGCTTCAGAATAAATCCCCTTCTGAATTACTTTATGGCTATTCTCCTTCCTATTCTCACCTCACAGTATTTGGTTGCCTTTGCTTTCACACCATACCCAAGTGCCATAGGGATAAGTTCCAATCTAGGGTTGATCCTTGTGTCTTTCTTAGCCATCCTCTTGCTAAGAAAGACTATATGTTGTTCAACCTCTCTACCAAATAGGTTCTTGTTTCTAGGGATGTCATTTTTCATGAATATGTTTTCCGCTTTGATGTTTCGACATTTTCTTCCACTTCCTCTTCTTCTCTTTCACTTCATGTCTCTGCATGGTTTTTCTGATTCTCCTGAAGATGCCTTCTCTGTTCCTCATTCTGTCCTTCATTCTCCAGTCATATTATCAATTCTTCCAAATTCTCCCCATACCTCCTCTCCTCCTCCTATACCACCTCCGCCCTACATTCAGCCTACCAGAAAGTCTTCCAGACTTCATCACCTTCCTGCACACCTTGAGGATTTTATATGTACTCTTCCTCCTTCTCTTGGCTCCAGTTCTTTATCCTATGCAGTTCAGCCTTCTCTTCACAATGTTTCTATTGAGCCATAATTTTATCATCAGGATTCTTCTATTCCAGCCTGGCAGGAGGCTATGAGAAAAGAATTTTAGGCTCTTGAGGTCAATCACACTTGAAAAATTATTTAATTGCCTAGAGGTAAGAAGCCAATTGATTGTAAATAGGTCTACAAGATTAAATATAGGGCTGATGGTAGTGTTGAGAGATATAAGGCTAGGTTAGTAGTAAGAGGGGATACATATGTGGAAGGGGTGGACTTCACTGAAACTTTTTCCCCTATGATTAAATTTTTCACTGTTAAATGCTTAGTGGTTGTGGTTGTTAAGAGGCAATGGTCTCTCTTCCAACTTGAGTCAACGATGCATTTTTGCATGGTGACTTGGATGAGAAGGTATACGTGAAGTTTCCTCATGGGCTATCTGTTGGTTCTTCTTCCTGTTCTTCTACTTTTTTGGTGTGTAAATTTCAAAATTCCCTCTATGGCCTAAGACAAGCCTCTAGGTTGTGGTATGCCAAACTATCTCTTGCTTTTTACTCTAGGGGATATACACATTCTTTAAATGATTACTCCTTATTTTTTAAGAAGTCTACTTCTTCTATTATCTTGTTGGCTGTTTATGTTGATGACATTATCTTGACTAGTGATGATTAGGCTGAAATTCTTGCATTAAAAGCTTTTTTTTATGATCAAGATCAAGGACTTGGGTAACCTCAACTATTTTCTTGGGATTGAAGTGGCTTCTTTTCCTTCTAGTTTGCTTCTTCAATACAAGTTTATATCTAATGTTCTCCAAGAATACAATTGATCTGAGGTTACCCTTGTTGTTTGTCCCTTTGGCTTGAATCAAAAGCTTAAAGCTTGTATTGGCAAGTTGCTGCCCAAACCTGAACAATTTAGGAGTTTAATTGGCAAGCTGAATTTTCTCACACATACTGAGCCTGATCTGTGCTTTGCAGTCCAGCACCTGAGCTAGCATTCAAGACTTGACATTAGCCCATTTATTTATTTATACACTTCATAACACTAGAGGCCCATTATATTTCTTTTATGTAATTTCTGTTATAAACTCGATTCAAGAGGTAGGGCCGGCTGGAGGGTCAAGCCACTAAAGCAAAGGCTTTAGGCCCCAGCTTTTAAGGCCCCATTTTATTAATTAATAATGTTATTTTTATAGTTAATTTCCTAACAAAATATTAGTATTGGCTCTTGTATGATAAAAAATTACAGTATAAGATGTTTATTAAAAAATAAAAGAAAATCATCTAGCCATGTGATTGATGGTGATAGTTGAAAATTTTCATTCTAATATTAATATTCTTTTTTTTTCCTC